TTAGTGAAGTTTCTCGAGAAATCTTGGCTAATGTTTCCTACAATGCAGAAGTCAGATGGACCCTTTGTCTGCAGCACAAAGGCTGTTACATTAAACCTTTCACAAGTTTTTACAAATCAGAGGTATGAATTAATATTGAATGATTATTTTTATTTCGCATTCCAGAAAATCAGAATCTTCATTTCCTGCTCTTGTTTTCATTTCCTCACAGGGACTGTCAAAACCTTGTGGAGCCAAAAATTGTTTCCTTTGTCCGATAATGAAGGCTTGCCACGTCCTGCACATGAAGGGTGCCAGTGGGCAAACGCATAAGGTCGTAGCCGTGGGTACTGGAGACTGCAAGACTACATATGTCATTTATTGCATCACTTGCGTCTATGGAGACCAATATATTGGGGAAACAAAAAACTCCCTGAAAAGTCGCATGCAATAACACAAATCGAAATTGACGTCCATAGGGCCACGTGCGCTAGGCAATCACATTCAGAACTGTGAGAATTATGCATTGAAACAATGGGAGAATCTGACGATAACCATATTGCATATCCCACAGGCCAAGTCGGACCGCAACCTGACCGAACTCGAGAAAATATACATCCATAAGTACCATCCCACCTTGAACGAAAGACATAGAGTAAGTGGTAGTGAAGCTATACCAGATTTGGTAGAGGTTTCGGTTCCATTTCTTGTTCCTAGCTTCTATCTAGCAGAAACTCCATGTCAGGTTTTTGGCGCATCAAAGACCCATGTGGTTCCAATAAAAGAGCCTCAAAATGTCAAGGAAATGCAGATTATCTCCAAGGTGCATGAAGTGACAATGGAGGAAAGGAGATCGCTTTAAAGGATCATGAGGCGAATATGGAGGAAGCAGACGGAATTTCCCAGAAGCACGAGGAGAATTTTGAAAAGGAGGCGCCTTCAAAAGCACGCGAAGTGGACGCACAGGCAGCAGAGATGATTTCGGAGGAGCAAGCAGTGAATATGGGGGAAATGACTTTAAATGAGCGTCACGTGAATGCACAGGAAATGCAAACTACTTCGAAGGAGTACAAGGAGATTGTTAAAGAAGTCCATATCATTTTAAAAGAGCATGAGAATAATGTGGCAACGGAGATGGGTTCGAGGGCTCATGAAGTGAATGTGGAGGATGGGGAAATGACTGTCCTGGAGCCTAAGGAGGATGTTGAGGAAAAGGAGACTGAATCCAAGGAGCATGAAGCCCGTACGGGGGAAACGGAGATGGTCGTGCCCCAACATGAGGGGAACATTGGAATTGTGAAATTGGCTTTAGAGGAACGTAGGAAGGGTGTTGGAAAAACGGAAACGGTAATAAAGGCGCATGAAATGAATCTTTAAGAAACGGAGATGACTTCGAAGGAGCATAAGAAAAATGCAGAGAAAACAAGGAAAGATACAGAGGAGAATGAAGAGAATTTCGAGGGATAAAAAGGTAATTCAAATTTCTTAAGTCAAAAGAAAAAATTCAAACTTGATCTGTCGAAGGTGGTTGAGTGTGGGTTTCGCAGTCTTCCATTTTATGTTCATTTCTTCAGGTTCTCTCATTCAGAGTGAGATGAATTTGGCTCGAATGCTGAAAACTTCTTTACTTAATGGTCCTTTAGGAGTACATGGTTTCCTATGGAAGAAAAATAGCTCTTCAGCTAAAAGGTCCCTTCATCGCCATTAAATGAGGTTTATGCATTCGGAACTTAATGTTTACGTTGAAACGTTAACTTCGCTCATTTTTAACCGCACTCTATCCACCATGTCCCAGGGGGCTGTAATTCAGAGCGAGGTTAATGCTTCAGAACAATTAACCATATTGATTAAATTAGGGCTTGTATTCGCTCTGAAGCTAGGTAGAGATATATGAAGAAATGGAAACGACAAATCATTCCATGATAAATTAATTAATGGCGAAATAAGAAACAGATCATTTTACGATGCTGCCAAACATAAAAGAGGAATTTTCTGGTAGTTCTGGTAATGGTATCTGCATTTTTTTTACTAGACCTCAGAGGTTTGGAACGTCAATGAACATGGACAGGGAGTTGTTAGCATCTCCTGCTGGGCCCTGCCAAATGGGTTTTTAATGCAGTTAAGAAGATCCATCACCTATTTGACATTGAGCATCCTTTAGAGGGATCATGATTTTTTTTTCTCGCAAGAAAGTGAAAGCTATGTGAAGTCAGCCTGGTCATCAGTCTATTTCTTTGACTTAAACATTACCAGGTAGAACATCTCAGAGTTGATCCGTTTGCACGTGGTCCAAATACAGACCACGATGATAAGATGATAATACTCAGTATCTAATGCTCGCTTCAATTTCTCGTCGTTGATATTTTTTACATACAGCATCTTACTTTGTGGTCTTTTCAGCAAGAAGAGAGGATAACACAATATTCACTGCAGAACACAGAGTTACACTTGCAATAGCAGAGCCAGACTGCACATGCCAAAAACCAGACGACCCGCCATCAGATTCAACAACCCCTAGACGTATCCCCTTGCGAACCAAATGTGTTATCTACATGGATTCCAACATGGATTCCGTTTCCCCGTTTGCACGCCACCAGTACCGACAACTCCCGCACGGATCCATACTCATGACCATGCTGTCGCCGTCTCCGTTCGCGCGTCTCCGATGCCGAAATTCCGGGCATGGATCCCTTCGCATGACCATGCCATCCAGGTCTCTTTTCGCGCTTTATCGATGCCCCAGACCCAGCCATGGATCGATGGATCAATGCAAAACGTTCATGAGTCATGATTGCAGTGATTGGACTATGATGCAATATCAATGCAAACGTGATAGGTGCTTATTCGAATTTTTGCATTTCTATAGCAATAAATCTTCGCAATGAATGTTGACACTCGAGTCTGAGACATCATCCGGATTATCATGAATTGAAGTTGTAGCAGCCTTAGGGACTGATGAGTAGGATCCTTAGATGAGACTTAACGAAATGAATGTAGAAATTGTGCTTCTATGAAGCACTCGTGAAGAGTTTCTCCCTGAAACTTGCTTTTTCATATACTTCGCTTTTACATGTAATTGCCTTCGGAATCTGCAGTACAACAACTCTTCGGCCCACACCGCCCTCTCCGTGCGACGATTCTTAGCAAAGAATGACATCCTGTGTTGCACCTTGCTTCTCTTCTTTCAGCATCTGGTTTGATGATGGGAATTGAATGAGGATTGAAACTCTTCATGAGACCGAGCAGATCAGTGTCATATGAACGCCATGAAACGAAGAAGCGCAATGAGTATGATCGAGAGAGACATAGGGCGAGGATTTACTGACATGGGGTCGAGGGGGAACTCAGTATTTTTTTTCCTTTTAAGACCTCAGAAATCAACCTGAGGAGGCGTCGGACATTCTTCCCGAGCGCACGGTCGTCACATTGGCTATTTTGCTACAGGAAATACCACATTAAATCAGGAAACTTGTTTACCTTCTTGTTAAGGATCGCTTCCTGAGATTTATGAGAATAGCTGCGAACTAAACAGAACTCGGCTCCGAACGAAATGATAACCAAGCAAGAGCAAGAGGCAGACGGTTAAGTATCCGTGTGTGACAGCGTGCCTTTTCATCGAAAAGAAACATTTTCATTCAAAAGATTCGTTTCATGAAACGTCGAGTATGATTCACCAATAAGGGTTTTTTTCTTCATGGCTTAGTTTTCTTGTGCATGCCCAAATAATTACTGTGCCTGGTTTATTTGCTTCTTGCCATTTTTAATGATAAAAATGCCTTTTTTTTTCTTTACCGGGGGTAATTTTTTCCTCGTTTCTGCCAGTTTCATCATCTTTTCATCAAACTTTTACCAGTTTCATCGGATGATATGCACCGGATCCGTTTAAGCTAAACTAATCTGATCTCACAATGGTTCTCTATGGGAATCAGTTTAGCCGAGATAAGTTTATTCTCATAGACACCCATTATGAAAACGAATCGATTTAAAGTTAAACGAATCTGGTGCATGTCACCATCAAGTATCCCTATCAGACGCGCCACCCACAGCAGTGGGCATCTGCCATTCCTAAGATTCCCATCTTCAGTAAATCCAAAAATTACGTTTCTCTATCCGAATCATTTGTTTAATCTGCTCCAAGATGCATGGAATATTGAGGAGTACGTAATTATTAACCCTTTAAAAATGATATTATTTCATTCACTCCGATGTCTGAGGAAGATAGTATAGTACTTCTTTCATCGCAAAGGAAGACACCGCATCGAAAAAAGAAAGCTGGGTCATTGTGCATCTGTTCGCCGCATAGCTTGTTCTCTTCGTGTATTTTGAAGAGGATCGTAATAAAAGGACGGTTTTGAAAATGCTAGTTGGGTATTTTCTTGATTGTAGGATTGGATTCTCATCACAACACATAACACAATAAATTATTTGCCTCATCATGAACGTCGAGCGAGAGCCTGGCCAATCGATATCTGGGAAACCATTTTACGCACTTTCAAATGCAGCGTCATCCCCATTCATCAGAAATTTCTTCATGAAAAAAAACTAGTTTATTCAAAAATGTTTACTGTTTGAAACATGTCGAAACTGCATTAATATTATCCTAACCGATTGAATGAGGTTCACTGCATGGGAGCAGGATTCAATCTTGTAGAATTCAATATCAACGTCATGTCCCAAATTTTAGGGGACTGATATATAATCTCATTTCATTACAGGGTCAATGAGTATACCTGCGGAAGGTCCACACAGAGTTCACAAAATGTAGGCAGTAGATGGTGAGTTATGATCCCATAAAAGCCCTCAAAGCCGAATGTGGATTTTCCAGCCTAAAGGGACATTGTGCTTCCTTTCTAATATTCAACGGAGAAGTTGATTCCGAATCTTATTTCCCTATTCCTTAAGGTTATGAATAGGAAAACTCTAAGCCTCAATTTCCAGTCTTTGTGCTATTGCAAAGTGGCGGGCGGCTTAACATCTACCAAGCTTCTTTAATTGTGGGAAAGGCATATCTCATTCATGAGATGGAGGTTTGGGGAGGATAGAGATCCTGATTTTGCATGATTCTCAATCCTCATCCTCTTTGTCACAGTGTTCATTGCAAAACGTCCGCCTGCATGAGATTTTTATGTTTACACCTTCAAAATCAATCTTAGTTTGTTGATTGTCGTGCACAGTTGTGAACAGAATACTACCCAATTGCCTGTCAAAATCCTTTGGATGCTCATCCCGCAGTTGACGGGAAAAATACTTGTGTTTATCGTGGTTGACATTACCGTTGCAGGCTGCTTGCGATAACACCCTGCCCACGTTGAGAAGGCTGTTGCCGAGTTGTCGTTTCCAGTTAATTGAAAACAATATCTGTCGTCTCATTGGAATCATCGGAAAAATTTAGAACTTTTGTTTGGACATCGCATAAAATACTGAACATCTACTGGGTTTGATGTATCGCTTTTATCTATTTGTTTAGAAAAAAGGCTTCTTAAGTGGTGATATTTTCAGTGGGCGTTATTTTTCAGCTACTCTTGTGGCTTCATCTTTTCTCATTTGATCATAATTTTTTTCAAACCCGTAATGGTGAAATATGCTTCCGTTTTCAGTAGAAATTAGATGTGCTTTGTCATTGCATTTCTTCATTCGATCTCAGATTTAATTGATTGTCCACCCAGCAGCAGCTTCAATAAATATTTATAGATATTTCTGGCTGACTCCATTGTGATAGGTTATAAGTATGTGTCCAAGGAATTCAGACGGTAAAGGGCGCGTGAATAAAATGATTGGGCACCTCTACGTCATTGACATGTGTAGGAGCAGAAAAATTATTTGAGAAACCACTCCATGATGTTTTCCTTATCTTTATGGTCTCCAATCTATTCTGCCCTGGGTAGATTGAACAGGAATGCTCGAGTACAGACCACCCATATCTCTCACTGCCTGTGTCCGATCGATTGCCCTTATTTTAAATTCCAGGTCATATTTTATCACCTGTCTCAAAATTGGATAATGGATGGGATAACATCAATCTGCTTTATCTTGGGGCAATAAAGCAATCCTGCTAAGTGATATCTTTTATTGCCGGTCTCCTACTATTGCATCATGACGCTTTATGCCGTGGCGACCATGAGTCGTCCCTCATGCTGAAGCTTCTTCCAGGCTCCCTTCCAAGTGTTTCTTGCTACGCTTTCAGTAACTCTCCGCAAAAGATCATCATCAACTAAGCCTTCGTGAGTAGATTCTATTTCCTCTAGCAGGTACCTCTTACAGTCATTCAAGTGTCTTGTGACGCGATGAGCCTCTGTCAACACCTGTGTAAATGCAACTGTGTAAATGTACAGCGGAGCGTGGAAGTGCCAGATGTAAGAGTGTGACATTCTCCTGATACGTAGCAGTCCTATAGCCGTTTGGAGTTGTGGTCTCAGTTCAAAGCAGAGTGGCGAGTGCAATTCGTGAGTTTAATTTATTCCTTCCGCGTAATTATTTGCATGAGAGGAATTGAGACGTTTAACAGTCAAATATGATAGTGTTGCAAGTGAGCTGGAATGCATCTGAACAGTGACTTGGCCTTTCTCAGTGGTGCCGTTTCCTGGAATCTAAATCTTTTGCACAATAATTAATACGAAACTACAATGAAATATTGCTCAAATATAACTATTACGAAAATGAGCGTTTCACGTAGGAAGAAATATGCAAAATGGAACTAACAAACTAATGGAGCTAAGGAATTGCTACATTGCCCTACCTATGCAACATTGCTACATTGCTACATTCCTCTCCAAGTATTAATAAACTTTGTAGAAGCATCTCAATATACCTTTTCTTTGTTGTTAAATATGTAGTATATAGTTATTATATATTCCTTCTTGAAAGCGTGTAATCTCCTAAAGACATAGTATACTGGAATACCAGACTTTAAATATTTTAATGTTTCCATCCATTCACCATCCAATGCGTAAAAAAAGGCATTGAGTAGGTTAAAACAGGCTCCTTCTTTGGGGCCTATGTGACAGTTTCCCTCCTATTTAGCTGTTGTGATGAATTTAAAATTTAAAGAAATCTTGCGATATCTGTCATTAATGGTCTTCATGATCTTGAATGCTTCACTGAAAACTCCTTGGATTTTTTCTCCTGAGCCATATTCCTAATACCTCGTTAAAAGCAACTCGCATGATATTAATTACATGTCTCTAATCACTCAAATAGCATGACAATGAATGATCTGGAGTCATTAAATCCCTTTTTCCAAAAAATATGCCCAAAATGTGATTAGCGCAGTGCACATGCCAGTTCAATACAAGGTATACCTGCTAGTAACGTTCAATGCAAGATGAAATTGCTGCTAGTTCTTGCTGAGAGAATAAAAGTCATTCCTCAATGACGATAAACCACGAAATCTAAAGCTTTTGACAGCCCCCCCCCCCAAACTTACTTCACGACAAGCATTCAGAGATGAAACTATAATTCAGGGTGATTATTTATTAATGGGACCATTATACATATTTAAAACTAGCTATGGTCGCGCCTTCGACGCTCCATTACCTTGGATAGTGATTAGTTCATTCATTTATTGCGAAATGGGGAACACGTATTTGAAGCACGTCCCCATTGAAATACGTGACATAGAGGGGCGAAGGTCTTCGTTTTTATCAAAATCATTACTTCTATGATTCTATGTGTGCCTAACTTGAAACCTTTTCTTGTGTCTCTTTTCGTATATATTCGTGGAGAATACATTTTGAATTACTTCCCTCCTATAACCTACGCTAAGGAGACATATTTCAAAAGTAGGCTTTTCCTGTACTCAGCCAAAAAATAGGTACTTCTGAGGGAAGTTTAAATTTTCTATCTCTGTTTCGTTGAAGAAAAAAAAAATTTCTGGAAAATGGGACTAAAAAAAGTGCCTTGATGGGTTTTAACGAAAAATTTTCCTTTTGAAATGTAGACTCAGGGAACTCCATGCCACCCAGTTTAAGCCATATATACTTTTCCCCTTTTGCTGACAGAAAAAAAATGTAATTGGAAAAGCGACCCACCCAAAAGTTGTGCTATGAGGAGACGCACACAAAAAATTTAATTTTTCCTTAAATCAACATCACGTCCGTTATGAGTGCGCCAGCTACTTTTCTATTTCCCCCCGATTCGGTAGGATATGAAAAATTATTTTAAAACGTTACGTCTTGAAGAAATATGAACCCGAAAACTATGTTGGGAATTTGACGTTAGACATTTGAGCTCAGTGCGTCAATGGTCACGTTCTTGTCAAGTTTCAGCTATCCATGTGTCTCCATTTGAAGCAAAGAGAACTATTTAAAAATATTCTCCACAAAAGGTGTGCCCCTATGGTATGCATCATCCAAGTATAACTTTTCCTGAACTCAGCATGCGAATGGCTACTTATGCCAGTTAGCTACTCACGATCGTCCATATATAATAAAAGTATAATTTTTTCTATACACAGCTATCCATCAGAGACTTATTTTTCCAAGTTTTTTAACTTCCATACTACCTCTATTTTGCTGGATCAGAAAATTCGTGAAAATACGCCTTTTACAAAATATGTGCCCTGAGCCGTTTTAACCAAAACATACCAATTTTTTTCTTACCGAAATCCATCCTCAGTGTACTACATGCCCACAACGTTTCAATATCATACATTTCCCGTTTCGCTGGTGAAACAGGTTTGGAAGAGCCGACACACCCTTACGCTCTGCCCAGAGGGGATGCACTATAAAAGCTGAATACTCCTTCAGCTTAGTAATATCATGTCACTTATAAGTGTGCCAAGTTTCACCTTTCCATTTCTGTCCAATTCGCCACGACTATTTTTTTTTTAAACATCGCCCCTCGAAAAAATTCCCCCAGGGGATGTATCGAGATTAACATTTTCATTTAGCTCCTTGTCTCAGTAGTCACATTCATGCAAAGTGTCAGCTTTTCATGTTCATCAGTTTAACTGATGCAAAAAAATTAGTTGAAAACATCTCCCTTTGAAATTTGTGCTCNTGCAAAAAAATTAGTTGAAAACATCTCCCTTTGAAATTTGTGCTCCCAAGGGATGTACTTCCAAAGTCTGAAGTTTTCTGCAGCATCCCAATAGGTAGTTATGTACCAAGTTTGATCTTTCCAAACCAGCTCAATACGCCAGGACAAAAAAAATACTTGAAAACGTCGGCTCACAAAAATATGCCCCAAGGGCATGGATCTAAATTTTTGCATTTTTCCTGAACTCATCGGCTCCGTAGGCACGTCCATGCCAAGTTTCAATTTTCCATATCTCTCCGTTTTACTCAAGCAAAAACAATGTTAATGATATATATAAATAATAATATATATAATAATAATATATATAATAATAATATATATAATAATAATATATATAATAATAATATATATAATAATAATATATATAATAATAATATATATAATAATAATATATATAATAACAATATATATAATAA